GGATCGCCCGACGGCTCGTGGACCTCCGCCGTCGCCGTTCGCGGCAGCCCTGCTCCGGGGAGCACGGGGGTTTCGGTCTCACCGGAGGCCGGAGGCGCATTCAGCTCGGCAGAGACAGTGGAGCCCCTGGAGGGGCGCGAGGCCTGGAAGGGCCCCGGAACCGAAGCATCCGCGGGCGGCGCCTCCGGCGGTGACGCGGACGGGTTGCCTCCAACGGGAGAGGCCGACACCAGGGTCATGGCAGAAAGAGACCGGGCCCAAGGAGAAGAGCAGCGCGCGGAGGACAACCGCCTCGTTTGCGGTGAGGACAAGGAGGACAAGGCGTTCGCGCTGAGCGCGGAAAGGGGCGACGACAAGCCAGTTGAAGAGGACGAGGACGGTGCGCGGGCTTGGGCGGCGACGGTACACGAGGGAGCGTGATGGGGCGAGACAGTTAGGAGGGCCCCCTCTTCACGCCCAGGGTGAACGCGGACGTTCACTCTTGAGGAGGGGGCCGTGTAGCATCAGCGCGGATCAGAATTAGATTTAGAATTAGATCGCGCACGAGCACACACGTGTACTGTCAGGACTGTCAGGACGCCCGCACACACGTGTACTGTCAGGACTGTCAGGACGCCGGCACACACGTGTTTCATAGGCGCGCGCGAGCACACGTGTATTGACAGCGCTACAGTAGCTGAGTACGGTAGCTCAGCACTGTAACGCGCTACAGTGCAGTACGGACTGTACTGTAGCGCTATATGATAGACGCGATAGACGCGTAACTGTATATTAAACCACGGGAACCGACGGCGTGGGGGGGAGGCAAGCATCGGCTTGGCCAGACCCTCACCGTCGGCTAACCCGGAACGCTTACTCTAACTCGGGCACGCTCTCTCTGTTCGCGTTTTATAGTAGAAGGACACGGGTGGCGGGCGTGTACGTGCGCGTGTGAGCTAGGATCCGCCTTCGCCCGTCGGCACTGGAACGTCACCCAGTGCCGCGCCGGGGCGTCGAGGCGTCGGTCCGCTCTACCGCGTACACTAACGCGTTCGCGACCCGACCAGCTCCACCACCGCTACCGGCCCGTGTCCTTCCTCAAGCGTTGCTTACTGGTCCTTTCTGTTATTCTCGCGTTCTACAGGGTCTCTTACGCGGACTGAGCATACACCCCTGCCGTTGGGGTGTTTATGCTACACAGCGCAAATGCTGAACAGAACAGCTCGATTATTTCTTGCATGGCTGTGCTTAAGAATGTTTTCGAGTTGGCTATGCGAAAGGCCACAGCATCCAGCGAGCTCTTTGAGGGCCAGTCCATGTAGCATTTCTTTACAGAGCGGATATAGGCTCTGCTTTTCAACGTGAAAGAACCCCGGAAAAGGGATGAACCATTTGTGAACGTGCAGGTCTCCCAGTATTGCTTTCTGTGCGCGTCCGTCCCTTGAGTTTCTCATCGACTCAAGGTAAAACTTCCTCCATATTTTGAAAATCATTCGGTACGTCGGTTGATCTCCACTCACGACGATATACCTCGGGCTTCCATCCTCGCCTGGCCGCAGTACATGCTTAACGAGTGCTAACTGTTGGTGTATGGTAAGGATGTCAGCAGCACTCATACGGCTGATGTCGACAAAACGACCTCTTGGTCGTGAAGGGAGGGATAAATGCTGTTCAACCCACCGTGAGGTTTGAAGCACGACAGCAATAATGTACGGAAATTGATTCCTTGATTTTTGTAAAGCTTGATCCTCTTTCCTCGCTTGTAGCCACGTGAGGCCTGAGGTAGAACGAGCAAATCATCTCTGCGATACAAGGCAATTCCATAAACTAAGTCGAAGAAGTCATCGAGAATTTTTTGATCTTCCGTAGAGTTACAGCTTGATGCAAAGTCAGAGCGATTGCCAAGAACTCTGACTGGATCTCGACATTCTGTGTCTTTCTGACTCACCGCAGACTGTAAATTAGGGGAGAGCTTCACAGTTGAACTCATCTGAGCTGGAGGTGCACGCGGAGGCTTTCGTGTTTGCACAACACTTTGAGTTGCTGTGCCGCTGACCATTGGCAGTGCCTTACCAAATGCTTTCACACTGTGGTGCGGAAGGATATCAAAGTTGTCTATTTGAACTGAAACCACTCGGTCACTGGTATTGATACTGTCAAATGCGCCTCTCGGGGAACTCTCTCTCAGCGATGAGATGTTTTCTGAAGGACTCCATAGAATCGCAAGAGGTTACCAAACCGAGTGCGTGGAGGACACTGGTCCAGGAGGCAGTAGATTCCGCAATACCCGCTATGGACAGTGTCATCATAAGGGGACCGACACATAGTCTAGACCGCGAAAAATCACCTGCTCAATAACTTTGAGTGCTCGAATGCACAGAAGGTAGTCAGGTCTGGCTATTAGTCCGCCACTGCAAGACTGGGTGGCAGCACGTCGCTTTGAAAAGTTATCCAGTTCTTCCCTAGGAATTTGCGCAGATTCATTCGATACAGGAAAGACCTCTACCATGCTTGTATCACTTGCCGTCGCAATCACCTTCCACGAAGCTAGCTGTTTCTCAGATGCCATATCTATAATTAAAGATGACCACAACCGCTTGGGAATTGCCACAATTTCGTCGGACAAAGACCAGTCCCCTCTGCGATACTGTTCCTTACGTGTCATAAACCGCTTCCCAACATCTGTAAGATATTTGCGCCTTTCCTTCGGCATGAACGAAACCTCCTCCCCCTTTGCAAGAGACATGACCACGTCGGCTGTGTGGCAGAGTGCCTCAGCAGCTGCATCAAACCAGAACTTTCTAGAAAGGGAATAAAGGTGGACGTTCTTAGATGATAGAACCGGACAAATTCTCGATTCAACTGTTGTATTCGATATTAAACTGCCCAAGCAACTATGTGCAGAAAGCTCTCTACGAAACTTGAAAACTGCAGTGATAGGTAGAAACCGAGATTTCGGATCCTCCGGGAAGGGAGAAACAACTCGTAACTTGAGCTCATTTGCTGCTTTAGAAACAGATTCATTCACGCGCATGAAAACTGAGGAATGGGTGTCTTTGTCCAACGCGTACAGAATACAGTCCACTAGGCATCTGTCTATTGCGTCCTTCAGCGTGTCGCTGTCCATTATTGGCTGAATCCCTTGCGCTCCTTGTTGGATATCGCTAACGCTCATCCTTTCTACGATCTGCCGCCACGTTCCTTTCCTTACAGACCTGTCCGATATCGCTACTACATATACTGTGCACATCCAACTCCACCTGTCTCCTGGCCAGAGGGCACTCCCTTTTTACCACACTCCTTTCGAAACCACGTAACAACAATGCCCACATGTCTGTCTTCCTGCAACCTGTTCATACGTCAAATGTCCTGAGGAATGAATGTTGACAGCCTCACCGTACTCGAATAAAGTTTCTGCGTCCTCCAACGTGGCTTTGGTCATCCTTTGCAAGGGTCTAAGTGTATTGTTAGACGAAAAACAGCCTCTATCCTTAAAAACACAAAAGCCACCTTTGGTGCCAAAAAGCGATGGCTCACGGCGGGCTGCTTCACCGCTTGCATGTATTGTTTGGTTGTGGTGTAAGCAACAGAATCTAACCTCAGCGATCTGAGCCAGCAACATTCGACAGTGCTCAAATCTTAGACCAGAACGTGCTCCCAAATTTTCACAAAAGCAGTGCTGCGATTCTACGCTGTAGAAAAGAACAGAAAAAAGTTGTAGGTTCGCTTTAGTCCGTTCCATGTCTTGTGCTGGGAGGTTTTGAGACTGTCCTTCATGACCAAGGTGGGTGCATATGTAACAAGGACTGTAGCGTCGACCAGAGTTTGGAGAGACTAGAGCTTTCCAGGACTTCAAGGCAGACCGTGCTTTATTACCATGTCTTCGCACATCACAAATGACATTTCATCCAATCTTTGAAGAGCGACAACTAGTGCACAGTGAAATTGGGCCTTCTTCCTTTCCATCGAATGGGTTCGCGAAGGGACCAGTATCAATAGACGCTCTCTTTTGCAGCTGCTTGGTTGTTAGCGAAACCACAACAGTAGGGCGTTTCTTATGGTTTTGCCCGCAAGCAAAGCAGGGACCACCGTTTGACTGATTCCAGGGATCGGCACTTACAGATCTCCCTTTTTGCATCATTCCCGAAACTGGCTCCAGAGGCTATGGACCCTTAAACTTCACAGGCAGGTGGCTGTTGGAGTTCTGCTCCTAGACAGCCATGCGGAAACGGAGTCGCTAAGAGAGTGGGGAAGAACGGATCAAAGATTGCGCTTGCTCTCTGTGCACAGCAGACAAAACGACGACGGCTGATGCCAAAAGTGCCATTTTTCGGGATTCGGGAATGCAGCGTGATCAAGAGGTATGATAAAGGCGATTTAATAATTTTTTCCATTCTCATGGACTGCTCTGCATGTACTTCTTTCATTTAATTTAAATGTAGATTTTGGTTAGAAATAGAGGGGGAGCTGATAGGTGTGTTTTAGATGAAGCGTGCAACTTTGCTCAGGTCTCAACATATTAGACGCGCTTTTTATTGCTCACACACGAGATGCGAACGATGCATGCCACGACGACCATCATGCCGAACGGACAGGAAGATCACTTTGTCGTTGATGGTTTTTCGGCTGGAATTGTGAGGTACGAGGCCGGTGCCTTTCGACAAGTTTCTCACACACGTCGATGGGTTGAGGACGCGTACAACTGGCGACCAAGAAAGAGCACGTTTCCTTACGTTGAAACGGCGCGCAGTAACGCTTCGATTCTTTTGTACAATTCCTCTCGAAAAATAAACGTTCTACTCGATCTCGTCAAGAAGCATATATTGCTGCTGGCTGGGCGCATCGTGTATGACTTTGGAGAAGCCTCCCGAAGATTCAGTCTTGCTCATCGTATTACTGATGCTACGGTTGCCACAGCTCAATCTATGTTTGAAATCACTGGTCTTACAGTTGGTGTTGTGACACATGAACTTGGGGTGTTTCGACGCACGGGTTCTGGTGAGTTTTGGCTTGAGCAGGACATGCGGGGCAATATTCTTGCCTCATTTCTTGAGATAGACCGAACTGTCGAGGCTTTGACAATCCAGAAGGATGACGAGCCCATCACTGTCGTGTTTGATTTTCTATCTCGGACTATTCGGTCAAGGTCAGAGTATAACGAAAGAGAGACTACGAGAAAGTTTGGCATACTTGCGATTGCCGAACCATTGGGAGTGGTTTTAGAAAAGATACGTGTTGTCCGAGAGGATGACTTCGGAGATGACGAGGAGCTGTACGGTCGGTTTCATACGTTCGTTTCTGGGGTCAACGTACCGACACAAAACTCCAGAGAACGAGAACTTTACGACATTGAGAAACCGATCCATGTCAAGGAAGGCGATGTACATGAGGTTGTCGACGCGACTGTTTTGATTTATGGAGTGGATCGAAGCCATGAGATTTTCGTTGCTGGCTGGCTAAAAGAAAGAGACATCACTCGAGATGATGATTTAGGTTTCCACCAGATTTCCGTTGCGGTAGAACGGTTAGACCATGGACCTGTCGTCTTATCCTTTCGGAAAAGTGAAACCGACGTCGAGGTTCATGTCCGCATCATTAGAAATTACTTTGAATACGTATCTCGCGAAGACGGGTTTGTACCTCTTAACACTGGCGATGGTGTTCATCATGTCCCTCGGTTTGCAGGTGTCGTTCCGATGCCACACAACAGAGTTAAAGGGATTGTCGGCGGTGTTAACATTCTCCCTGAGGGGCCGGAATCGGTGAGCAACAGACTGCGGTCTGTAGTGCTACTTGGGATTGGAATCGTGCCGCATGTCGGGGACGTCGTGAGTGGGGTTATCGATTTGTTATGGCCAGAGGAGGAAATGGAGGTATGGGACGAGATCAAAGAGCGTGCTGAAGCTCTGATGAAAAATTTGATCACCAAAGAACGTGTGCACGACATCGAGAAACGACTACGGGGACTTAAACAGACGATTGATGATTATCAAAACACGTCGATAGGCTCCCCAGAGAAGGGCAGCTGGATGGTCAATGTGATAAGCTCCTTGAATGCTGTTCAACCATTCTTCCTTGACGACCGCAATCCGGAGGTCATGCTTCCATACCTGGTAGCACTGGCAACTCTTACGCTTGCTGTACGTCGAGAACAGATTGTGTCTTACAAAGAAATACACGGAAGGGACGACCGCAATGCCGACTACAAGCTGAGAGAAATCCGGGGGCAGTATGAGGAATTCCATGATGCTGTGGTGAGAGCTAGAAAAGGTGCGACGGAATGGCGATTAAATTTAGTTGAAATACAAGAGGACGAGGACAAGGACAAGTTTGTCGTGAGCGACGAATTTTCAGGTTATGTTTCTGACAAATACAAGGATCACCCTGGGATGTTATACGAGAATATCAAGGAATGTGTGCAGAACGATTTCAGACGGCGACTTGACGACATAACGCTGCCGGCGAAGACATGGAAATACATGATCCCGGACGCCAAAAAGCGCAAAATAGTGCGAAAGGAGACACTGAGCGTGAGTGGATTGTTTCCTGTGGCGGAATGGAGCGGGGAAGAGGGGTCAGTGGACGGGATGCGCATTTCGAAGATAGTATTTGTGGTTGATGACTATGTGAGAGGCGTTGAGGTATGGCACGGGGAATCACTCGGGTTAAGATGTGGAGACATGTCGCGAGGGGAGGAGATGCGGTTGGAGTTGGATTCGGATGAAGTAATCATTGCGGCAAGCGGGAGGGGGGAAAAAGTGATGCATGGGATGTGGGTGTTTACGAGCAAGGGACGGGCGTTTGGGGCGAGCGGGAAGAAGGTAGGAGGGTATGAATGGACAGCAGCGGCGCCGAGCTTGGACGGGTATTTGGAGAGTGTGTTTGTTGAAAAGGGTGGGATTGGGTTTAGATGGCGGCATTGGATGGATGAATGAGAAACGGAGGAGGTGTATGATGGATGTTTTTTGTTCGGGCGGGTAGAGGAGAGGAGAGTCGGTTCGCTGAAAAGGTTGCGCGAGAGCAATGTGCTCTCTTGGTTGAAAGATTGGTGTCTGACGGGCATGAGCATGGAGATGCAGGTGGGCTTTGGATTCTAGAGCATGCAAGGTTGATGTGCGGGGGAAGTGATTGTTGCGGAGTGGGTTAAAATGTAAAGAATATGGTTCTTGGTAGTACGGTGTTGTGGAGATGGAATGCAATTGATGGGCGGGTGTATCCACGCGGGGGTGATATGTGTGGCGGAGAAGTGTGGTGGGACATAAGAGCAAGATATTCGAGGAGTGAGAGAGGTGAATTGTCTGAAAACATACAAGACGGGGTTTTGGTTGCAGCGAGTTGGAGGAAAGAAAACGGATTATGAGAGGCCTGGGAGGCGGGGAAGGAGGAAGGATGACGAGATGGCGACTGACATGGAAGGTCGGCAGGGGAGGGGGCGAG